ATCAACTAAATTAGCATGCCATTTGCAATAGTCATCAGTTAATATCTTGCTAGAGGTAGTATCAGAAGACATGTTATCGTTTTATATTAATGCAAGTCAATTCAAAATCACGTAGCTGTCAAGAGCGAAGTAAAAAATATCACTATCCAAGTTTATGTAATTATTTACTTATGCTGTGATCTCAATTTCATACCCCCCACATTTAATAAAATAGGATTCAGCTTCATATCTACCTCTTATACTCTTCTCATCCTTATGACTCGACTTGCATGCTGGACATAACGACTTATCAATAAGTCCATAATAATCAAATTTTTCGCTACTAAATTTTCTATATATATCAGGATACTGGCCTAATATTTTATTACGAAAATAAGCACGGGTATGGGTTGGATTAAATGATACATTTACCTTTATTTCTGGATTGTTTTCTTGAGATAGCTTCGAACCAGATGAATCGAAAATGTGAGATTCAGTAGATATACTTAACTTGGTCTTGGTATCTGGTAAAGATTTAACTTCTTCAACCATTTTATCTTCTGAATTGCCAGAGGAAGTTGCAGAATAGCTAGAAATCTGGGATGATAGGATAGAGGGAATGGATGTAACACTTAACTTAGTTTCTGGTAAAGTTTGTTCAGTCACGTGTGCATTCCAATTTGAAACAGAGATTACTTTTCGATTTTCATTTGACTTAGAAAAATTGCTTATGATATTTTGAATTTGAATATCCTTTAAACTTGAAATAGCACTTGCACTGTAAAACACCTGACTAATTTTATCTATTCCTATACCTTCAAACAATATATAAACTCTTTTAGCTCTGAAAGTTATTTTACGCAAGTTTACATCAGTAACATCAGGTAAAAGTGTTTTGATTTCATTATATACCAATGTTCTTGTAGATTTGTTGTCAATTTTATCCATAGTCCTAATATTTCTAACTCTATCCTTGTATGCTTTATAATAACAGTACCAGCATAAAATTCCCTTTTGTCTAGTCTTCATAGCAATGTTAAATAAATCAGCTATATTTTCTGCTGTAACTTCACTAGATCCTGTTAGA